TTTAGGGTTTTCTATTAGGTGGCAGTACCTTATATCAGGTACTTCCTTAGTGTCTGCATGGCCGGGGTTCCAAGTGAGCTGACCCAATCCAAAATTGTGACGTCAGCAGACTGCAACCCACCGATTGGACAGTCAATGGTGTCACTCGATGAGTTGTGAGAGCGTCTTCTTCACAAAAATCAAAACTGCTATTTTTGAAACTGGCTGCACAAAGATCAGCACCATGGTCCCCGAGTGTGACAAAAAGCAACGCCTGGACGTCCTCCATTGTTGTGTCGCATGCAAATGACATCACACGTTTGACGTTTACGTTTCATGACATGTCCTGTACTTCATCTGAGGTTATATTTATCTAATCTTATGTCCTTATACGTAAAACCTTAAAACTGAAAGAGGATGCAATTTCTTTCCTGCGGACTGATTTTACGAGCAAAGGCGGTTGAGGTTTATCTTTTTTATGCATTGTGAATTAAAAGTACTTTGTACTTCTTTTCTTTTCTTTTTTTTAAACTTTAAAACTGCCCCTAAGTAAATAAATAAATATCCCAGACTACTGTTATCCTCTAAGGACAGTTTTTCTTTTATCATCAGCTGTGTCACATCTTGTACATGTTCACCAGTCATTGCTTTTAATGACTTAGACTGCCACTCCTTACTCACTGATGCTGCACACAGTTCAGTCCTCTGTGCCAATGACAATCATTAGATCACAGCTCTAAATCTCCTGACATGGGCTCATGTCCTAATGGAGCACTGTCGGGCTTCTGAGTGAAGCTCTAATGCCATCAAACGTGAACGAAATCCAATTTATTATGATGATAGTCAAAGGGAGCATCAATTAGGTAGAGGGCTGCAACAGAATGTATTTGGACGCAAGCCCATCTGCAGACCCACAGTCACTTAGCTATTGCTCACTCTTCCCCTTGTGTGAAGTGGGAGTCTCATCTCTAAACTGTACTTCACTGCGGATGCTCATGTGTTTTAGGGTGATTGATAATGCACATTAACATGGATTAAGAGCAAGGAAAGTAAGAGAGAGTGCATTTACTCTTATAATGAGACACAGAGGGCGAATAAATATCCAACTACTATCACCCATGGAAGAAAAAGGTTATGTGAATACTCAGAAAGACAGACCTAAATGTTTAGTCTAAAAATAAAGTTAAGCTGTAGAGAGGAAGAAAGCGAGAGAGAGAGAGAGAGAGAATTGTAATGTCGAGATTTTGCCTTTACAAACTTGAAAGCTTCTCAGATAAGGGACACTGCAGGCCAAAATAAATAAATAATGACTTTTAGAAAGCATAATAACATGTCGCATACTTTAAAGTTAATGTTTGAACAAAAATAAGACTCGGACAAGGATGTTCTTGAGACAGGCCCCGCTTATCGCTGTGTGTAATCTTCAAATAGCCCAAAAATCTTCCACTGTGCTCTTCCTCATCAAACTTCTGACAGATTTGGGTCTCCTGCTGTGTTGTGATGAAAAGTGTGCTGCTAGCTTCGCAGTGGTTACTGCAGCAATTGGTCACTTAATATTTGCTTCTGTTCTCAGCGAGTAATGAGGAACACGCAGGCAGATAAATGAAATCTACATGCTTTTTCGTAGAAATACAGTGTTTCCCCTCAGAGCAGCTTTCACATTTACTCAGAGAGTGGGTGTTTCCATGGCCTTTATGTATATTTTAGTTTGATTTGAGACACAGCAAGTATCTAGACCCTCCATCTGTGTCGTGTGTCTGTTCGGCTGAACAGTTTGTTCTATTTTAAGTCCCAGGGAGCTATGCACTGTGTGCTGTGCTGTGTGTGCCTGTATACGTGCACTCCTGTGTATTTACAGTACATACTCTGCTTCACTACCATCAGACTCATTACACAAACCCTTGAACATTTACGTCTTCGCAAACAAGCTGTGCGCCGTGATGCTGTGAACCTTGCCCTTTTATAGCCTGCGTAGGGAGCAGGGTGACTCCATGTGACAATACAGGAAAACAAGTAATGTATATAAAAGACCACAGCAGTGAGTTGGTTGTGAGGAGTGGGTTTAGAAAGGATGGGAATCCCTCGTTATACTTTACATGCTGTCATCTGACAGTACACTAAAGCTTTCACCAGAAATAAAAAGACTGGAAAAAAATATATGAAATGCCACTCTAACAAGTCTCCCGGGACCCCCGTTGCCTGGCTTTCTGAAGAAGGAACAGCTTTTCAGATCAAAAAATGCTTTAAAAGACTTTGACAGAAAAAGCTTGCTGTGCTTCACTTGCAGCTCACAGTCTGTCCATGTGGTCCACAGTAACTTCATTATATATTGGAAGGGTTATGCACAGCATTTATTCCTTGATCTGGGATTGAAACCATTTAACACATAGGAGACGGGGCGGCACCTGTGACAGAGAGTGGGATTCTCCACAGTGTTTGCACAGCTTTAATTTCTTCTAAAATATTTGTTTAGCCTCTGTAGCTCAGTTTGGGAGCCTGATATGTTTCTCAATAGCGCATGACCTCACACTCACATGCTTACATGCCATATTTATAGAAAGCAATAGGTTGTGTCTCAGCGAGATAAAGCTAATTGTATGTCTTATTAAGGTTATGGTTTATCCAGCCTGGAATAGGAGCGTATGTCTTCTTAAGGATAGAGTCTACATTTGAGTCTAATCGTATTGCTGCTCCTCTTGAGTGTGTGTCCATGTATGCAATTCAAGACAGCAGGCATTTTCTCACCTCTAATCACGTGAGATTTTTATCACATGAGGAAAAAAATTCTCTTTTTGTGCCATTAGCAGAACTCGTGTGACCTGCTGGGGAAAAACATCTTTTCCTCTCTTATTAACATTGGATGCTTGTTAACTGGTGTAGGCTATCATCCTGCTGCCAGTACTGGCGTTGCCTCCCATTTTTAAGTCTGTTAAGGTCAACAGCAATTTGGATAAAGGCTAGGTATTTTAATCTGACGAATCTCTCTGCCCTCAGGTTACTTTGAGGTTTCGGTTTTTCATGAATGGCTTTGGATAAAATCTTAAGCTCTGGACCTGTGAAAGGCCTCTAATATCTGAGGCCTGCATTTTCCGCTTTTACAGCTCCGTAAAACTGACAAACTGACCTGACAGCTTTGCTGCTTTCTGCATCAATTGCCCGAGTGTGCAAAAAGGTGTTAAAGGTGTAAAAATTGCCAAATGCTATTTACTCCACAGCCAGCCCGTTTCATCCTCACTCTGTGATCCATTGTGTACCAGCTGCAAAACAGGCCGTGCCATTGTAAGCAATCAACTTACAGCACATTTTCAAAATTGACGTATCTCTACATAATTTTCTCAGTGAGTTTTTGGTTTAAAAATAAGGGAGCTGAAAGATTTGTGCAAAATATTCCACAGCACATGTTGACGTCTTTATTTGACTACCAAAGCTGAAAAATATTCTGTTTACTTGAAAAATTACAACATAATAACATAATAACATTTAATTAATTGATGCTATTCAACTTTCAAAGACCAGAATGGAAATCTGGAACGAATGTTGAGCATTAGTCTGCACAAACATTACCTCACTGTGAACCCACTCATCGGCTGATGTGGCTACTCGTGTAAACTCTTGACCAAAAAACAGAAACATAGCTTGTTTCTGACCTCTAGCACTTTTTAAATCTGACCTGGTGAACGTTGTCTGCATATTTCTGATAAATAATTTTTGGCTCGTAGGCAGTGCCCCACCACTAGCACCATTTCTCTTCTGACTGTGTGCTCATGTGAAAGAAACTAAACTTTCCAGTCGCTCTCCAAATGGAGCTGTATCTGCGCCATACTTCGGAGTGTTACCAAAACAGCTCGAGAAAAAAGTCGGAGGTTGGTGATGCAACATTAGACTGGCTTTGATCCACCAATAAACTGAATTCTTTTTATGACAGGAACACTGATGGGCCTTCTACACCCTTGTTGTTGCTCTCTTTCCTTAGTTTCTCCTTCTCTGTCAGCCTCTGTCAGGTCCTCAATAATTTAGGAGCCGAGCTTGTAATATTTTCCAACTAGCTCGTGCAGAAGAAGACTCTTAAGTTTCTCGGCACATACACGCAGCTAAAGCAATCTATGATCCTGGTACATGTTTGAATGAAGTTTACATTCAGAAAAATGGGATCTTATAGGTTCGGGGAGCAAATAATGGGTGTTTTTATGCGAAATTTGCAAATGGCTCGTATATAAATGATCAGCAACATCAACTTAAACGAATGCACAGAGAGATACTATTTCTGTGCACATAATGAGGCTATTAAAGCAATAAATAAAAAAAAAAAAAACAGAAACAAGTGTGCCTAAGCGAAATGTACTGCCACCCCATTAATCTTACTTATCATCAGTAGAGGGATGACTACAGCGAAGCTTCGAATGGTGATAATGTGCAAGAGGAATTCACGAACCCCCACAATGCATCACTTACAAGCAAAGTGCTCCACAGCAGCTCTGCAATCACAAAACTTTACACTGTGCTGAAAGAGCAGATTCTGTGCAATTCATTAAATATTTGCTCTACTTAGAGCACCGTACTTTTAATGCATGATATGTGCAGTTTTTCCTTACTGCAACGCATAGCTTATAGAGTTGCATAACTAAGACATCTAGTTTAAGATGTTCTTTTAATCTCTCAAAAAAAAGTCAGTTTTATTAGAATCAACTAAAAAAATGACAACAATTTCAGCTCAGGGAAGTATACATATTCATGATTATCGCTATAATTTACCATGACTTATAGACAAGAAAAAGCAAGCATGGAACAACTTTTGGCCCCAGTGTTGTCAGAGTGCCAGTTTCAATTAAACCGAATGCCCAAGCGGTCCTGTTATGTAAGCCTTAGGACAGATTTCGGGAAAGGCATCATGGACGCTCACTGCCAGACAAGCTGTCCACACAGTTGGATGGAACTTCCAGAAATCCAAATCAAATATCTTAATCTTTTCTCTCTCTCTCTCTCTCCCCCCCCCCCCCCCCTGCTTGTCTTGTTCCCATTAGGAGCCCTGAGTCTAAGAAGCAGCCATGTGAGAGAAGCTGTCAGCGAGCAGAGGATGCCCACGTCCAGCTAAAGCAGCCCTTCCCCCCCCTCTCTCCCCACCCTCCTGCTCCCTCCCTTCTTCCCACATGAGGACAAGAAGATGACTATCTCCAGCCGGCAGTCCTTCAATGTCCTGACGGTCATCTTCCTCCTACTGTCCACTGCAGGTCTGTGAATTTTAGTCCTAGCCTGTTTTTGAGTCTGTTTATCTGTTCCTCTGCAGACACTCAAATCAGAGTTTCAGGTAGTGCTGCTGACATTACACATGCCCTCAGTTTCTACAAACTTTGGATTTCCCCCAAAATATAGGTGTCAGTCCTTTGCATGAGAAGCCACTGCAGTGTTATAAACTGAATTCAGGGAACAGAAAGACTGATGTTGCCATGTGATGGCCAGAAGTCGAGTCAGACACATTTAACATTTGGGTGCTTTCAAACATTTACTGCCAAGAACTTACTTTTATTTGGCAGGAAACGCACTGAACCTTAGGGTGCTCTCTAAACGAGGCCAAGCAGCGTAAACTGTAAAAGAGAGCATATTATAACCCCAGAAGCTACAAAGCAAAGAACCCAGCCAACACATATCTCTTAGATATAAAACACACATTATGCAGAAGAAAAAAAAATATGCCGACTCAAGTTTGAAAATGACAAAACAGGGAGGAGGAGGAGGATGAATAGCGAGAGCGAGAAATCAGCGCTATGGCTGGCAGGGCCAAGCAGCAGGTTGAAAACCCATAACAACCAAAAGAGTCAACAGTGAGTTATTTATGTTATTGCCCTCCTCACTCAACATCCATCTTTAGTTTGAAAATGGCCATCCTCGTGTTCCCAGAAAAATGCATCAAACCCAAGGACCGATGATTACAACTACAAAGCAAATTGTGTACAGCACAGCTTTGAATGCTGAATGAGTGCCAGAAATGACAAATAAAACCCAAATTTTACTGACTTAGGTAGTAATGTACAAGGAAATACAACACTAAACAATCTCTGCAATGATTTATGATTTGTTTTGTGTTACACAAGGTTATGCAATTATGCTACATATCTATGTAAGTGATCACTGTAAGTGAATAGAATAGAATAGAATAGGCTTCAGCTTTATTGTCATTGCACATGTCACAGGTACAAGGCAACGAAATGCAGTTTGCATCCATCCAGAAGTGCTTTAGCCTGATATAGATATATTACAAATAATATAGATATGTAAGTATATTACAGAAATGGGTCTATTATGGTATGTTATAATGTACACGGTATGAAGGTATGCAGGTAAGTATGCACAGGCTGTAGTGAGTACAAGCTATGAACAGGATATAAATATGAAAAACTATACAGAATATGAAATAAAAAAATACAGAAATATGAGATATGCAGTTATACAGAAATGTGAACTATGCAGGTTATAAACAGTTGTAGAATTAAAAATTATCTTATTGTACAGAATGATTATTTACACAGAATTATACAGTAGTGCAGTTAAGATAAGTGAGATATGTGGATAATTTCTACAGAGGCTATATAAAGTGCTAGTGGTTGTGAGTGGTGGTTCAGTCCATGTTATTATTGTGTGTATGAGGGTACAGTTGTCCATTGTGTGTATGTGTGTGTGTGTAGGTGGTTGTGGGTGTTTGTATGTCCAGTCCATGTGTTTAACGTGGGTCAGATGTCAGGAGGCAGAGTTCGGGAGTCTGACAGCTGTGGGGAAGAAGCTGTTCCAGTACCTGGTGGTCTTAGTCCGGAGGCTCCTGTAGCGCCTCCCAGAGGGCAGGAGAGTGAAGAGTCCATGTGATGGGTGACTGGGGTCTTTGATGATTTTCCCAGCCCTTTTCAGACACCGCTTCCTGTAGATGTCTTTTATGGCAGGAAGTGGTGCTCCAGCGATGCGCTGGGCAGTTTTCACAACCCTCTGCAACGCCTTCCGGCCCGAGGCAGAGCAGTTCCCGTACCAAACTGTTATACAGTTGGTCAGGATGCTCTCGATGGTGCAGTGATGTTGGAGTTAACACTAAAGACTAGACAACAGAATAACTTTAAATTGTAAACTGAAAATGTAATTGTGTCTCAGTATATTTACCATCATGAAAATATTGATAATAACTCATTATCATCAAATTATCCTGATAATCAAAGTGCAACTATTTTATTTAAAAAAAAGGCAGATTGATATTAAGCTTAAAATTATTTTTTATTTTTTTATTTTTCATCAAAGCTGTTTTTCATGCTTGACTAAGAAGAGGTAGAAAAGCCTATCGTGGATTTGGTTTAACACTGCTGACACAGAGACGGACAGACTGTGAGTGAATAGCAGACAAACTAACCAAAGGCAAAGATAATAGCACCAAGAAGGTGCACACAGTGTATTGTACTTAGCTAAAGAAAAAGGATGCGCACATTACATTTACAGCTTACCAAAGATCTGAGTGAATGGGTTACTCGTGAGCAAAAATCATTTTGTCTTCTTTGTCGAGGATCACCGAATGAAACCTTTATGTTTCAGAACAAAGACAAACTGCAGATGCGAGCGCAGTTATGGATAAAAAAAAGTGATGGGTGAGCACTGACTGATGTTTTGATGTTGTGTGTTTGCACTGCTGAGAGAGAGAGAGAGCCACAGCCGTTTTCAGACCACAGGCAGTAAACAAACTGTAGTTCAGGAGCCAAGCTGTTAACTGTATCCTAAACTTCAAGAGGTGTTAATGAAATTAAGCAGGTGGGTGTGTTTACAACGGTATCGCTTCCAGAAGCAGCTGTTGTTCATTTGAGAAGCCAGAGACTGCCGATGAACTTGTCTGTTTCCAGTTGTGCATCATTAGAGAATTTTATACTCCACTTACAGTGTGAAGGGCCTCTGTTTCTTTATTACCAGGTTACTAACCCTCAGCCGCTGACCCTCTTCTTTTAAAGGGCATAAAAACATGAGCATGCTGCAGAACTTTTTCATGGATTAACCGACTTGTATTGTCAACGCAAGGGTCAAATGAAGAGCTTCCTTTCACTGCTGAAGAAGCCATCCTTGACTTTTAATTCTACCGTGCCCTTCAGTAGTGTTTCATTTTACAGCCTCTCCTGCTGAAATTAGCATCGCTGAAGCGAAGATGGCCAGCAAGCTCATTATAACCTGAAAGAGGTCTCTTTCAAATGCTGATCTGTCTTGGCCTGAGATGAGTGAAAGACTTCTATCACACTGCCTGCACAAGTGGACCTTGAACTAAATCACAGCCGAAACACTTTAACTGACAACACAGTCATATTTTTTGGGCTCATAAAAGGAAGCACATATGAGAAGGATAAATAAGCTACAATAAAAACATCAAACTAAGCTCAGTGCACTTCACATGGAGTGACATCATTTCAATTTGTGATTCAGCTGAGAATTATCAATCAAAGCCAAACAAGAATACACGGTGCCAGAGTGATTCTGCAAGCAAGTACAGAAATGCTGATATGAATTAAATCACAGTAAAACGCAGTTTTACATCAATGAAGCCTAAAAATCTGACAGCACTGGCAGCTTATTGATGAAAAAGAAAACATAAGAGAAGGATCAATCAGGTACACGTCCCACGGAGCGGCATCTTTCAAGAAGTGAAAACAGAATTACAGGACCTGCAAATGCCACATATAGAGCTATTAACAAGATTAAAATCTCATTGGTTCACCTGCAGATAAGTAACAAAAACACTGCTATGCTTACATACAAGCTGTTGTACCTATTTTGTGGAGGATGCTCACATGAAACAAACACCAAAATCAAAGATAATAAAGTGAGTGTCTGTACAAGTAATCCTTTAAACATTTGGTTTCTTAGCAGTCAGAGGAAGCGTCTTACACTTTAGTGTGGCTGTAACTAATAATGGTTTTAGAATTGCTTGTTTCAGAGGATGAACTAAGGTGCTGCTGAGTCTCAGTAGATCCATAAGAATTATTTTAGACTTTGAATCATATGCAGTTACTTCAGCAGAGTCCCAGAATAAAATTGTGGAGCTGGAAATGAACAATAGATTTCCTGTTAGATACATAAAACATTGTCACATAATCCCTCTATCGGAGACTGCAAAGAAATATAAAAGTGAACTGCACGATGATGCATGCTTCAGTGCATTCTGTATATTTGTCACTATTCTGGCTTCCAGTGCTTATAGGCATTTTGAGAACTTTATGTATAGTTTTGGACAGGTCATAGGCTGTTTTAAATGGCTGTGAAACAATGAATATGTCAAACAGGCATGATTATCAGCTTTATAAATAGATAGGTTATTTATTATTATTAGAGTTTGGTTTGCAATTCTTGTGATTTTTTTCTTTTACTTGATCCTTACTGGTTGCCAGAATCCATCTTGGAAACATTATTATTTCCCCCCACGAGACAGTAACACATTCACTTTCCCCTAAAGCTGCAGGGACTCGTAAGCGTAGTTCTGGCTGAATGCAAATAAGCCAGAGGACTGCATGAAGCTGCATAAAGAACTGACTGTTTCCACCCGTATGGCTTCATCTGCCCAAATGACTGGTTATACTTTTCAGGATGACTTTGGCTTTGATTAATTTCTGTTCAGATTTCTGAAATTTACCCCATTTTACTGAAATTCTTTTTTTAAGTCATGTATTGTGTATGTGCAGAACAAAAACTGCATTAAAAAAACACAACCTATGATACTGTACTGTGAGTTAAATAAAAGTGAAACCGGTCCAAGATTAAACAACAGTGTTTAAAACCATATAGTTAGGTGGCACCAGGTTCACAGTGAAACTCTTTGTTCACCTATAAATAGAATGACAAAATAGAAAAACACTCAGACACACAATCACAAAAAACAGAGGGGATCCTTCTTTTGGAGGGAGGATGAAGCGAGGCGGTCAGCCTAGGGGAAGCAGCGTGCTATATACTCATTTTGTCAAGTAATCTGAGATGTTTGTTGTTTCCATACAAACGCACAGAAGCCACCCTTATGTTTGTATCACGCTTGGGTGTTATCAAAGATGTCCAGTATACCGGAGCACACCTGGCACACTCAGATCTCTCTCATTAAACCGGTAGAGTAATGCTGTATTCAGGCTAAATTGTAATAGCATGTGCCACCTGACATCAGCCTCTTCTGTGAAACAAGCAGAGAACTTGCTTGTTGGACTAGTAACAAGAAAAACGCCGCTATCCCTCTTGGGGAAAACTTTGGGTTTAGACGTGATGATAAAAGTAAGCGGGCCGTCAGAGACAAAACTCTGTGGCCTCAAGAAACTTGTAGGTAAAGACAAGAAATCAAGCTGCGAGTCTGCCACCACCACCTACACATTTTCTAGTTTACCCACTGATGTGTCAGAATCCACTACTGCAACAAGTGCCATTAGGTTCCATAACTTCCAGCTCATATTTCAGTAAGCTCCTATGAAATCTCTGGATGGCGTGACGACATGAAGAAAATAAGACGATGCCGTCTGGTTTGAATGATTAGCTAATCAGTTTGATAGTCTCTGTGTTCCTTCAAGAATAAAAATGACTGCTTTTGCCATCATGCGCCTGCATGCATAATTTAATATCTACTCTCTGATTATTTTTGCAAGTACACCGTGTTTTGTGTTGCTTGTCCTTCGCCAGAGGTATTAACCGAATTCAATCCACTCGTGTATCTTCAGAGGCCTCCAAAGAAAACAAGCATTCACGATTATGTTTTTGCAGTTTGGATGCTGTAGGTTGAAAGGTGCTTCCTGGAGAGTTGTTGTCATTTTCAGAACTGGGAGACAAACACAAATTCTGCCTCAAAGGTCATGAGTCCTTTGTTTAGCTCCTGAATATTACATCTACGGTTTCTTTTTTTTTTTTCTCTCCCCCTGTTTCCCACCACTGCAGCCCTCTCTGCTCATTACCGAGTGTGTGAACCTTACTCTGACCACAAAGGGCGGTACCACTTTGGCTTTCACTGCCCACGCCTCTCAGACAACAAGACCTATATGTTCTGCTGCCACCACAACAACACCGCCTTCAAGTACTGCTGCAACGAGACTGAGTTCCAGTTGGTCATGCAGGTCAACCTCACCACCACCCCTGATGGTTATGCACACAAGTGAGTAATCGTTTAAGATGCCATTTGAGTCAAATGGATTTTCACTGTGAATCTTCTGAGACAAAAATCTGCACTGTCATATTTTTCCTTTTTTTCTTGGTTTAGAAAAGAGATTAAATAAAACATCACAGTTAGCATCTTCAGGCCTAGATGCCCAATGCTACTCAAGGGTTACCAGTTCGAACATTGCCCATCTTAACAAAGTCAAATATTGAGAATCATGGCATACTGATGAGAAATGGGCTGCACAAGACACATATGGACAAGGACTAAATACATGGAGTTTTATACATATTTCCATCAGAGTCTGTTTCTGACCTCTTGTTTTAGGTGTGTGTTTTTGTTACCATTATGAGTTTTGTCACGCTGTTCGCTATCAGGCATTATAATTGCCCAATAGGACCTGTGGTAGTAGTAAACGTGAACTTCAGGCAAAAGTTGCATTTGCAAAGAAAAAAATTGCAAGAGTCTTAGCTAGCTTAATGTGCAGAATTTTAATTCAGGCTGTGAGGGTTTTAAAATATTTTAAACATGTCTCACATACCCTCGGCTGACTGTATTTAAAACATGAAACACACTTGTAGGGTTTTATGGGGAAAACAATCCTTTTTCAGGGCAGTAACTACATTGTTTGAAGTGTATGGAGATTATATCAAGTGCAAGAGCAGAGCTCTGACTGATTTTTTACCAAAAACTTTACAAACAGAGGGACATTAGAGAACCTAACAGTGACTCCAGTCCACAAAAATCAAATCCCCCAACAACCCTGAATAACCCTAACTTATACTTTCTTTCCGCTGTAATCATGGGGGTCAAACCTAGAGATATTTACAATTTATTCACAGAAAAAAACTCCTACATTAAATAACATGAGCATCCTAATACTATAACAGACATTTAAATAATAACAAAAGCATTTCAACAAAAGCCCAAGACAGAAATCATCCCATTCCTTCTTCTATCCTCAGTGGTACAGCCCAATCACCTGACTGAAAAATGAAAGTCAGGTGGAGTATCCTCATGTGTACTTCATGAAAACACCATCATCCACCAACCCGAATCGAGAGAGGAGAGTTAATAAAAACCAATACAAATCAAACTATTAAAAAAAAATACCCACACCATTAAGTAGTATCCTGCTAAAACGAAACAAACAATACCAAAAGATAACCTGCATGTCACAGTTAATTAGTGAAAACTGGCTTCGCTGAATCTTGGGAGAGCTGTATGTGAGTTGCTACAGCGACAGATAAATTTATCTCAGATCATATGAAACCAGCTTGTTTTGGTCTCCAGACCTTCTTGATGGTATCGTGCTCAGAGACCTTGTTGACACTGACCTACACCTGAAGCGGTATTCAATACCACCACAGAGGAGAGCAGATGCTAAAAGCAGCCTATGTGTTTTGAGTATGACGCCTCCACATGAAACCCTTTGCAAAGCCGGGGGTTAAGTGCTGGCTATTAAGCATATAGAGTCTATAAAGTCCTAGACTGTTTCAAAGTAAAAGTCTGTGTAAAATTGCAGAGCTGTATCAGTGTGGCATTATTAAAAAAAAACTGCACACATGCCAAGATATGACAGATTTCTCACAGAGGACAACTAAACTGAAAGAAGTGCTTATGGCGTGGAGTATAAGCAGATTTAAACTGAGTGAAGGACACAGAAAAATGTCCCTCTTCTTCTGTGGGAGCACCCAGTGGGAGGCTTGGGTGACAAAACCACAGCTCTTTGTACTAATGCCCTCCCAGCATGCCTCTGTCTCAAACGGTACACAGTGCCCTGCAGCAGGTCATGATATTTCATTTTTAGTGTCAGATGGCCTGTTGGGCCTCTCTTTTATCTTGGCTCAGTGGCCAATAAGACTGCAGGCTTGATATTTACTGCTGGCCAAGCGAGTTAAACTGGCCATAATTTTGCGCTCCCTTCTTACACTTCATGGTTAAAATGGGATTAGAGTTGAGTTTGAGGTAAAACTAAAGGCATTTTGACTCCAAGGGTTTTGTCACAATGTTGTGCGCCGTCTCCTATAAAGTAACAGAGCAGCTGAAATATCGTGGATCTGAAACATATGGAGAAGTCATCTTAGAGTAAATGTCCAAGAAATTCACAGGAAAACATCAAATATTGTTATATATTTGACAGATAATCCTTTCAATCTGCTGTCTCTGGGAAAGCTGTGATTAATATTGAATGGCGTTGGTGTTAGCGGTGCGGTTCTGATCAGTTTCGCTAAAAACAGTGCACAATCTGCGTTCTTTGCTCTGCGATCAGACTGACTCAAATATATCCCTGCATTTTTAGTCTGTTAGAACACATACAAACTAAATTATAGCAGGTAAATGCCTCTGATGCAGAGGTGAGGGAAGGTAAATGCAGTTAAGCATTTACTGACATGGTATTCATTCAAGCAGCTTCGGTGTTTGTTTTAAAGCAATTTATTCAGATAAACACCCCTAAGGCTGCATTGTTTCCAGACAGAAGCGGATTCAGTTGATTTACTGAATTACAACCACTCGAATATCACTTTTTCTAAGGGCTTTAATCAGTGGAGTCACACTAATTGCATATTAAGGCATAACTAAAAGAATGGTTTCACTCCAAATAAATCTCTATTTTGAAGTAACACCCTGTGTCATCTCTGCCTCTCAGAGTCAGAATATTTATTCAGTGCGTGAACATGTGTAATATTTCCACCCTACATGCCCTGAGCATTTAAGCAGCAATGTGACACCACAAGATTATTTTTATTTTTTTGTGTATGTGTGTAAATTTTGCTTTCCCAACCTCTCAGGAAGCTATTTTCTGAAGCCCTTTCTGCTCATTCACCTTGTTATACTTTATGGATGTGGGTGGACTAAAACAAAAAGTTCAAATGCACCCCACATAAATCCAGCTGGATCATGTAATACATGAAGAAAATTTATGAGAGGTGGAAAAATAAGAGCGCTGATTTTTAGAGAAAACTATGTAAGAGCCAAAACGAGACGTATAAAACTCTCTTGCGCTAATGAAATTCTTTGTCCAATTTAGGAAGCAGTATTTAAGAAGCAGTAAATGGAACAGATGGTGTTTTTTTCCCCCCCCTATATTTATTTTTTTAAGTTTTTATCAAGGGAGGACTTGATAAATGTCTTGGTCTTGCCACATAAACAGCAAACATTCACACCTGGCAGGCACTATCGTTGCTTTTGGGATTTAAGCCCAGTGTAAGGGTAACTAGATGATGGTTCTGAGGATATGAAAAGTGTTTATCATCATCTTTTTCAGATTATCCAGCATTAATTCTCCCAGTCTGCGTCTCTTGCAGTAATTATACAGCCCTGGTCGGTGTGTGGATCTACGGCTTCTTTGTGATGGTGCTGCTGGCTCTGGACTTTCTCTACTACTCAGCCATAAACTACGAGCTGTGCCGGATCTACCTGGAGAAATGGGGTCTTGGAGGACGCTGGCTGAAGAAGGCTCGGAGTCAGTGGCACAGGTCCATGCCAGAGGAGAGCGAAGCCCAGGCTCAAGCGCAGCCCATGGTCCCCACCCACTTCCAGCCCAGACACAGCCTCAGAGGGGAGAGCCACAGCCCTACGCTCCTGCCCTACAACACATCCACCGCATGGTGAGTCACTGCCCGTCACATGACAGCTGTCAACTTCGATGCCATGGACATAGACAGATGCATTTCTGCAACTACTAAAATTATCTGTCTCCGGTCAAAAGAGAAAAACAGAATTACAAGTAGTGAAAAATTCAATATTTATACCACAGAAGTTCAGAAACAGTGATACCCTCATTTGACGCCATAGAGTAGGAAGTGTTACGTAACCATTTGTTGCCTATTATACAAAATAACTTGTTCTGCTCTGATAAGCAAATATGCAGTAGAGACCCTCTTGCTTGTTTGACAAAATAAAGCATTAATAGCTACAGATGCTAAGAACCAAAGTCGGCCGACCCTTTAAAAAATCGTTCCTTTAATTCTGCCTCTCATTTTCTTGTCTGCGTGTTTTCTTTTGTGCTCATTGTTTTGTTTGCAGACAGCAACATGGCAAGGAAACTGTGTCTAGCAGGACAAATTAAAACATTTTTAGCATACTTTTCCGAAAGCCAGCAGCAAGGAAGCTCAAACATTCCGGATCCTAATTTCCTAGAGTCGCTCGTTAGGGGCGCACTGTAAACACAAAGATATAGATATCACACTCGCGATTAGATCCGACCAGTGGTATTACCAACTGTCAATTCACTGGGTTACAGACTTCAACAGAACTTTTAGAGCTCCACTCCCTTCTGCCCAGCAGTGAATCATTTTCTGCAAAGCGTCTGATCTGTATGCGTCGTTCATCTCAAAATAGCTGCACTCTGTGTCAACATAAACCTTTTTTTTCTTTTATTTTATAGGAGGAATTTGGGTGAGAGATATTTCTTGGTTTTAAGTCTGACCAACTCATTAGGGAGCTATCATTATTAATGAATAGAAAAGAAAAGGATAATGTGAAAGCTGCAGTGCCCGCCTGGGGCTCCTAGCTCATATTTAACTTGAATGAGTCGACTGTGAGTCGCATTAGAAATCATTTGTGGAGTTTCTGCGGCAAAACACCATCTGCTATGTGTTCAGCGTATCTTTTTTATTACCGCTGAGAGCAGTCACAGGCGTCTGAAGGTGTGTTAGGCTGCATGTGACTGCTGTTAGAACATACGCGATGATTTATGATGCCAGGAGTGACCTGTAACACGCCATAGCTGCGGGGAACCTTTCTTCTTCTGCCAGACATTGTTTAAACTTTCAGAATATAGCTGCACAATCGCAGAGCGCAGCCTGAACAACCGTACATTTTTGTGCAGTCGATTTTTCATCCGGTTGCGCGTCTCCAGACACCGTGCACCCTATCTGTCTCTGATTGTGGCTCAGTCTCTTCCTAGAGGTAGACATCTCTCTCGGGTCATGATAATTTAATGTGGGTAGAGTTTTGACAAATGGCTTTAAGAAGCACTGTGGACTGTAGAAGCCATAGATAGACGAGCTGAGATGCTGCAGAGGGATCCTGGGGCTGCTCTGCTGGTATAAACGTGGTTAACTAAGACTGAACATATCCGCGGAGCCTCCTCATTAGACGTGAAGTCAGTTCAGTATGATAGGACTCATCAATCCTTGACTAGTGAGGTTGACCTGCACTGGCGAGAAGCCAGCATTAAGGCAGAGGAAGTCGATTTAAAAAAAAAAAAAAGGTGTTTGAAATAGCAGCAAACTGCTCATTAACTAAGTGGGCTCGGAAAATGAGAGCAAGATAAGTTCATAGTAATTCATTGTGATGAGTAATGGGAACTGCTTTAGGACTGATAGTGTTTTGGTATCATCTTTTGTAAGATCTCTATCTAAAAATACCAAGAAAAAAATGTAACCGCATTTTTTACAAACAGGACAAAATTTACCATGAGCTAAATATGTTCTTGCATAATCATTGACATCAATAATAAAGTGACAGATGCTGCGAGATAAATTCAGTCACGAGCAGTTTCTGGGGCAAGATCAGAATAGTTTTTTGGGGGGGAGGGGGAAAGTTTCACACAATGAAACACTTCTGAGAATCCAGATAACGCTTACACTTTTTCCTAAATGTGTTAAGTAACCGTTATGGGCGATTCTCTCTGTGTGTATACCGCAGTTGACGTTGCCCACACGGTGCGTCATTAGCTGGGTTTTATTTGCGGGGGTACAGATCTTTATCCCCAGAGAGGATGCAGAGTTATGGCTCAAAAAACTGGGTCCACTTAGTTGGACATCTGTTGGCCAAATGTAAACAACCAGAGATCGGGTCAAGTCCCATTACAGGCCCAGCAGCATCTAAAAACAACCCAGTCGCGCAGCAACTTTGGAATCCAGCACAAATGGTAACCCATGCAGCAAAGCAGGTCCTGATGGCAAGTCAGGTCTTAAAGAGAGAGAGCGAGAGGGGGAGAGAGCGCAGCTTTGCACTCAGCGTGTGGGAATCCTGCTTACCACGTTGCACATAAGCAGGCTGGTATGTGCTGCTGCAGATCTGCTCAGGGTTCAGCGTGGGCGGCCTGAGAAACTGTTATTACTTTTCCTCGGTGGATGCCCTTTATTAAAATCTCATATTCACGTATTCACTTCGGTTTGAATAAAGTACAAAAACATAACTGTCTCTTTCTTCACCTAACGATGTATGATCCAGGTGAGAGACGAATGATCAGCCTGCCACACCAGGAGTCATGGATTATCATTACAGGGGGGGCACACTGTTTGTTTCCAAGCAGAGTTTACTCACAGGGTAATGTCACTCAGTGGAAACAACGGATTTGTGAAAAACACTATTGCAAACTCTTTGTTTTTCTACACGCTATTTGTTCAAGTGCTTATCCTAGTGTTGAATAGGATGGGCAGTTATAGTTTGTCCATTAGCTTGATAAAAAATACATTTATGTAGGAGCTGTTTGGCTTGGACCTTTATGTGTCTTATATCTACTGGCCTGGGGATGCCTTATCCCTGCAAATGAACTAAACTAATGCTTATTAAGAGGAGTTCAAGGAAGTCTTTCTGCACTTAAAAGATTGTGGACTCGCTCAGCTAATGAGAAAAAAATAGAAAAAAACTAGAACATCACTGATGCAGCTCATCTGGCACACGATCCATTGTAATTTACAGGTTATTATAATGTGTGAAATACAGAAAGCAGTGATAAGTTTTCCTATCATTGGCTGGCTGTACTGCACAAACTAATGAGAATTCAAATCCACTGAGAACGACAAATATGACCCTGACCTCGAGGGTGATCATTGTGCATAGGTTTGATTAAATCCTCACTCATAATGTCAGCAATTCTTGTAGATTATTGACAGATGGATGGATGACGGATGTCTTCCCAGCTCATTAGTCCTTCGGGTGGATGAGCTGAAAATGAAATCATGATTTCACAAAAATCATTCAAATATTTGTGTTTAGGTCAAAGAGGAACATATAAATAAGATTCGTAAATGGTCACCTGATTAATCTTTATACACAATGATTAGACCTAATTAAAATAAAATAATAAAAATACTATAAAAGTTAAATGTATATGTATATACATATAAATGTAATAAAATAATAATAATAACAACCTAATAAATACATAACTGACCTATTAAACTATGGTGGCTGTCTTGATGCACGTTGCAACAGTAGCTTTAGTAGTAGCAGTCATCCTTAACTCTGCTGCTCTCACACTGAGAGGAGGGGTCATCCTGCGAGGACGTGAACCTGGAGAAGGTGGTGGTGTTGGAGGCCTCAGAGTGGTCGTGGAATGAGTTAAAACCATCAGGCGATAGAGGTTAAATTATCATAGCTGGCTCAGCAGATGATCACATGGAGCTGTTTAAAACTGAAGGAAGCATTGACAACTCTTGGAGCACAAAAATCATCTCATCTCATCTACTTATAATCTGGGCAGGGAAACATTTTTTCCCCATTTCCTTTCTTTATGCTTGGTTAAACTATAAAGGTGTAGTCTTATGTTTACCATACAGATGTGCTACCAGATAGCGGTAATGATTTTCCCATTTAGCACTCAGTATCCAGTTTAAAATCCATTCACATTAACCCTCTCAAGGCAGGCGTTGCAGATTTGTAACAGTTAAAAACTAACAACCTGATTACCCCACATGCATATTTTAATTTTTTACTCAGAAGTACCACTGCAGGACTTGGTTGTGCATTAGCAACAAAAAGTTTAATTTGAGCCTGAGACGGTTAATGTGTCCTGGATGACATAGATCAAGTAGCTCTTGAGCTCATATGACCAGGATGTGGTAGCACAAAAACTACTGGGAACCCATTAAGATATCACATTGCCACAGAAAAACATTTTGGCGTCACTCATCTTAGCAGGGCTCTCATGTAGCCCTTTAAAAGCACTGAAACCTTCCAGGAAGTTCAGCAGCATTAGAGCCCTGCTTGGTTGTCCACCCGCAGCTATTAGGACATTAAAGCTTTGGCTGGCTTCCCAGTATCTGCACATCCCCCTTTTGCCTGCTTGTCCACCTCCTTGCAGTTAGTGGTACTGAGCAGCATCATGACACTAGAAGGCAGATTTAAAAGAAGTGGCAGTGAGAATTTTCTATATCATCACTTATTTTACATTCCTTGTGTAGTGTACTCACTTTGACGCTCCCCACTTCATAATTGGAACAAATGTGATCTGCTCCTGTCATTCAGTCTGGCATTTTTTACTGCATATGTTAGATAGATTTAGTTTGCCTTCAGTCAGCGCTGATTAAGACTTACCCAGCAAAAATAAGTGTGCAATCTGGGGAAGGCAAAAAAAGCAGATTTTTTATTACTTTTTTTTTGCTCGTGTTTGGTGGTAAAATTAAAAGTACATAACTCAACTCTGGTTAATATATGCTGAGCATCAGCGAGAAGTCATAGATTAAAGCGGGAGAAATGAGGTGTTGAGCAACATCAAATGACACCACTTCACTTGAGCAGAACACGTCACACAGATTCCCCTGGTGGCCGATGAATCACTTGGCACCGACTTAGAGCAGCACCTCATGCCAGCAACCTCCCACTCACTCAAGGCTGGTAGCTTACTGGGCCAGCTGAGCTTAGCCATGGGTAGAGTGGTCTAGGTGAGGTGGCATCTGTCAGCCTATTCAATATATAGTTGACTCACCAGCCTTTGTAACACTGCTTCTTACAGTCAGTCACCAGTGACTCAGCGTTATAGCCCAGTCTAGTAAACGCCACCTCCGCCACTCGAGCAGTCTGTCTGTTACATCAGATCGGTCACAGGTAGGCATGCTCGACACCTGCACTTAAACGCCTGCTGTGCTGCCTGCACAGGACACTCAGATAGACCCAGAAGGCTAAAACAGAATTTCACATTTTTTCCCTTTTTTTTTTTCTGTCAGTGTGATCAAAGCCTACCTCTGTCTCCTGAATATTCACATCCATCTTTGAACTCACTGGTTCCCTTTTTCTGAGGTAATAATGTAATTGTACATTATAAAATTATTCCTGGCCTGTCTGTCCACAGAGCAGCATGCCAAGACCTTGTCCAATTAAAGCAACACACTCCATGTGGTGTGAGTTAATTAACATCATAGATGCTACAAAGACAGCCAGACGCACAGACAGTTCTGCTAAAAGAGAAGAAGAGCAGGTTTAGCTCTTTGAAAGTCGTGCAGTGACGTCTGGCACTGCCAAAAGCAAGATGGGGTTGGTGCAACTTTCTGTGTTTATTTTTGTGCTTGTGTTTGTGATCTTTTATTAGACGTGTTTTCACACATTTACTTTGCATTTTCTCTAAAGTGCAGTCAAGTATCCTTCAAGAACCAAAAGCACTCTGTGTCACACTGTTGATAAAAGAATATTTCTGTGTCCCTACACAGCAAATTCAAAAGTGTTAAATTTTTTGGTGTTAATAGTCTCCTTGCAAAGGTAGAGTTAATTTTACTCTAAGCAGAGTCACATTCTTTTAATGTAACTCTGAGGTGTAAAATGATAGTAGTTAAAATCGAGTGTTTCTCTGTCAAATCTGGAGGTGTTAAAATGGAAACATTAACTCTTGACCTCTTAACTCTGAACTCCTAGAGGGGCTATGACACCAACAGAGTACATTCACAGACTCCGCCCTCAGCACGGCTCCAATCGAAGCTGAAGTGAAGCCGTTTCAGAACATTTTGCTCTACATATTTGAGTTGTTTGCCATGCTTGGTAAGTCATTTTTTCAAAGATTGTTTCAATTATTATTATGAGCTTTTACTTCTGTGGCTCTTTGGAGTTGAGACAAAGCTGTGTGAAAGGCATTAGCCGTGTTGCTCGGTGATAGCATAATATTCTGTTTTAGCTAGCTGAAAGGTATTGTTTGCGGGCAAATACCACAGCCTTGAAAAAAAGCTTGCATGTGAATTTTCAGTCAAACTTTTGGTCAAATACACCTAAAACAATGTCTAGAATGTGAAATGTTGGTATAATGGTGCTACTTGAAGCCTGAAAACGATCGCCCATAAAAAAACAAAAACGAGCAAACAGCAGTAGCTGACGTCCTGACTGGGTTCTACGTTAGCATAGATCCCTCCAGAGATTTGTGCACACGGTTTAGGTAAAAATGAAAAAGGTTGAGGTTTTACATTTAGTTCAGTATTACCTGTTGCCTGTGTCCTTGTCTTTTGGGAAAATACTTTACACAAGTAATGGCTCAAAGAGGATTCCTTTTTTTTTACTGTGCTGCAATTGTTTACTGGATTATTTGTGCCATTAATTAGTGTCAACTAATTTTTATTCGATCTCCGCACAGGATATGCTTGTGAAGATGGAATATGGGGGAGAGCAGAAGTGCGTTGCAGTTCCACAAAGTGATGAATGAAGGACATGCATATTGTATTGAAGAAATAAGTGTTGAGAATGCTGTTATTTGCATTTACCATGTCAGACCTTTTGATAAACAAATTTCTAATGAAAGTGAGAACATGTATACTGTTACATCTTTCAGAAAATGTTTTGAAATTGTGGTGCACAGTTCAGAATAAATGTTTTTCAAAAACCATTGCATCTTTTTAGTAAATGTTTATTTCCAAAAGAAATTTCTAGAAGTTCAGAACAGTAAAATTCCCGCTTTTTAGAATGAATTAGAAGATAACTCTTACGTAGTTAAACTAAAATACTCTTTGAGAGTTAATATATAAACTCTTAACACCAAGTGTTAAATTATCAACTCCAGACAGATTTGGTGTTTAACACTAAATCAGAGTTAACGTACCAACTCTCCAAAAAGAGTTAAATTAACACTCTCTGGTGTGGACCCATATAGACACTTTAATAGTGTTGAAATCAAATCCGACAGTGTTAATTTGGACATGCTGGATTTGCTGTGTACAAGGATGGAGGGTAAATCACTGCTAAGGTGTGGAAAGTGGAAATTTTTCTTTTCCCATTAAAGTGCAGTCGTATTGTTTGGGCAGCAGAAATTATTTTCAGTTGGTGGATGTGATTCATAGAGCTGTGATGGGAGTCTTAACAAGAATTACAGACTTGTAAAATATTCCTGTGAAGCTGGCTGCTTTTTGAAAAGCAGAGCTGGCCCATTTTATTAGTTTTTGTGTTTTCTGGCCTTGAGCTCATTTTCAAGCCAATATGTTGTTATATAAAGATCAGTGTGGACCATGAAACACAGAGCACACACTGAGGCAATTTTATCCATGAAGCTAAAAGTATTAAGTTTTGAGTCTCTGTTGTCCGGGATCCTGCCAGTTTTTCCCAAACAACTTTTGTGGCTACTCTGGAATTTGATGATACAGACGTGCACTCTGGGCTATAAATTGGCTTTTTGGAGAGGATAAAGCAACAATATATCCACAAAGTATCAACCATTTTTTTATTCTGTGGGCTCCAGTTCTATGAGATCTTTAAAATATGTAAGCATGTTTGCTATCCTAAATACCATCTTCTTCACTCGCTAGTTTTTCCATTGTTTTAAATCATGTCTTGGCCTTCATCAGTGGGTGTCGTGTGAGAGTTACCAAGGATAAAGTCTGGTTGTTACCACGTGACCTGAGTATGTAAATTTAGTCATGTGATAACAGGTGGATAATAGCTGATATTTAAAATCAGTGCTTTTCTCTGTTTTCTCCTAAAGCCAGGTTTTAGTCCTGAGATGACCTCTGTTTCCCAGACAGTTAGAGTTATGTTCCTCTGGCATTCAGTCAGTGTCTAGCCACTTAACCAGTACAATGAAAACTGGAAACCACAGCCAATGGAAAGCTAGATGTGGTTACATCATCCAGCACCAACAGACATTCTGTATGAAACTGCCTTAGATTGTGTTTGGTGGTGTTGTGACTGGCACTGCTCTTTCAGGTCTGAAAACTGAAGCCAGCACGGGAGTGTACTGAATCCTTTCTAATGGCCAGCAGGGTGCTGGGAAGAAAAAAGGCTGAGAAAATGATCCTACCGCTCTTTTGATTTCATAGACAGTGTATAAAAGATGGGCACAGCTGTCTAGTGTGAAATGCAAAGCCAGTGTGGAAGCGCCTTTAACCTGCATTTTATTGTAAAGGCCAGCAGAGGGCTGGTTTCCAAAATTTGCCCGGTTATGGAGAACTCTATGGGAAAATGCTAACTGAACTCAGTTTACGGCATTGACCAGAAGTTTTAAGTGACTAAAAATACTGTAAATACTGCGATTTAGAATAAAAAGGAGGCTAATGCGACATGATCTTTTTGCAGGTATCTCTCGTGTCAGACAAGTCGCTATCTAAAACTGCTAGTATGCAGTTTCCTTCGGTTTCAGATCTCCTTATCACATCCTGTTTGAAAACACCATGTTGATAATGGCCAAAGGACTTAGTTTGAGGCTTACCACACAAAAGTTAATATACGGTTGAAAGCTTCAGAAAATTCAGAAAACATATTACAAGCTTAAGAATGAACCCTGATGCTTTGTCTTTTTTTCCCTTCTGGCAGAATGATGCTGTGAGTGGATGAACAGAAGAGTAGCAACACCTGGTTTCCTTACATGGTACAGAGGAGATGTTCCCCAGTCACCCCTCTCTGGACCACAAACACAGCATCACTGGTGGGCTAGCCATACTGTAGTAGCTAGAAGTGACTACTGTCCCCTTTCTAATGAGCACAAAATACCCACAGACTAACAGAATCAGGCGAAACAGCTGAAGAAAGCCTGGAAAGCCACACAGACGAATGTATCGCTGCTTCTACAGAAGGGAGAGATGGATGCATTTATCTGCTTATAGGGTTTAACTGATTCCCTAAAGTATCTGCCAAGGCCTGGAGTACCCCAAACAAATCCAAGATGAACTGGATAAACTGTACTCACAAGTGAGAAAGCTTGCCTATTTAAAGAAAAAAAATAAGAAAAAAAAGCTTATTTCTAGATATAACATGTTTATTAAACTGCTGTGTCACTTTGTGTTCAGTAGCAGTTAGACACAGTTGTGGGTTATCTATTTGGTGATTTATTTATGTGAAGTAGTCAGAGAAAATATATGAGTGGCTAACAATCTGATTATGTAATGGCTTAGGTTGATGCTGAGCATCTCACTTAGAGTAGAATGTTTTTGTTACCTACTGAAACCAGAAAAAATGCCTCTGCAGCCACGATGAAAAACAAACATCTTATACAAAATGTTTTTGGTCTCCTTTCTGCAAAACAAGCGATTTCTTGAAACAGTGTCGGAAAAGGACGTAAGGCCATAAAAATAAACTGCTGAAACTTCAAAACATGAGGGTTTTCCATCTTCACACAAGCATTAATGAGGATCAGGGATGCCTTCATAACAGCCACAGTCTTTATGCTAATTTACACATATCCGTATCCCTTGGCAAAGAGCCTAAAGACCTGAGTGAAACCCTTACTTATCAAATTACAAGTTTGTGACAGTTTTCTATAACATCACCCACTGACCTATTTGACCTTCCTCGTTATTAGGGCTGCCTGAGATCAGCTTCATTAGCAATATGACGCAAAATAATATCCATTAGTCTCTTTATACGAAGTGCTCCAAATTCCACATGGGTAACAGGCAACTGTAAGTAACTAGCCATAACAGAAAATGTTTCCAAAAGAAATATCAGTAAACCCCTTTCACTGTCAGCAATAATGTACAGAAGCTTAACCAGAGGATCACATGGTATGTAAAAATCAGAGTCAGCTAAATGAGCAATGGGTAATCACTGAGGTGTATCACAGAATTTTTGGCTCAGTTTGCATTTAATAAGACGGTGATGTAAGTTAAATGGAGATATACTGTTTCTGGATAATGAACTCTTTTTTTTTTCAGCTCTTTAAGAAAAAAGACATGATTATCTCTTACTAAAAGAAACTCTTGCACACTTTTTACGTTAACGCTCAGTGTATTTCATAGCAAAAACTGTCAATTA